GTCGATTGCTTTGCTTCTAAAAGGGGCCACGCGGTAAATGCGCTGGACCAACACGGGGGGCTAGATCGGATTCTAGCAGGCGTTATCGGGAACACGCGCCCATAAGAAATGCCAACATTTGGATGTGGTGACAGGCTCATTTGCAGGCTTATGCTGCGCCAAATGGGACCCGAGTCGCCCCCTTTTTATGTTGTTCTGTGAAGTCCTGATCAGTGTATGTTTTGGACAAGGGAATGTGCTGATACGCCTAGGTGCATGTTTATGCCGTGCCAGCCACTTGAGTCATCTAGTCCTTTTGATCCTGTCTTGACACCTGGTCCAGGTGCGGGAGGGGGTGAGAGTGCGGTAGGTGTTGCGCAAGTCCACAATCATTAAAAACTAATTCACGCGCAAGTCACCATCCCTGATGTCATCGTGCTGTGGACACCGTCGGCAACGACGGTCGAACTGTCGAGTTGCATACCGCCAATGATGGTCCCCACAGCGCCCAAAAAGAATATACTTTCGAAAAGGGAAAAGTGAGAAATTTGCATGCTTGACAGCCAAGTCAAACTCGCTGAGAGCTCGGACTGGCATCTGACAGCCTAAGCTAGGTCCGTTTTGCTTCTCAACATGTGGCGTTACCCCCAAGAAAATGAAAAAGAAATGTATTATTGACTCCTGAACGACATTGGACCTTTTAATGTCATAGAGGCGTGCATGTATTTAAATTCGTCATTTTCTATCACAAATGTTTCCCCCATAAGATCTCCTCTTTGTCTACTGCTGAATGTGAGCACACTACCAAGAGGCGAAAAAAGTGCCTCAGAGGAATGTTAGTTAGCGAGGAATGGGAAGGTCGACACGATTGGTTGCAGCCTATTTGTTGCCCTCGGGGAATTTGAGTGAAGGCGGAAGGGGACGGAGATTAGCGCGGAGTTTGCGATGGCGCTGCTGCTCTCACATATTACCTTTTGCGCGCACGCCGTCCCGCGCCTGCTGATTGCAACTTCTAATGCAGATTGCGGATGTGGCCGTCGACTCCAAGCTAATCAACCTTCGCTAATTGACTCTAACATACTGTTGCCCTGTAGTCCAATTCCTAAAGAACAACTGCTCAGAAGATTACCTCTGATGATTGAGCAGTCTTCCAATAGAGTTGCCCCACCACATCTGTCTCTTCCGAAGTGGCCCATAGGAATTGTCGGTTGTCGCTTATCGTAGATATGTTGTCACATTTTTGCTGGAAAAGCCAGATGAAATTCCAAACCCGACTCTTCGAACAGCGGGCCCATTAGCTACCACAATAATATTCAAAACGCAACGTTGCACGCTCCCCCTGAGGTTTATGTACCTAACCATCAGCAGCAACTCCCCAGCGAGACATTAAATGTCTACTAACAGAACTAAGGCCAAATGCAGCTGTCATTTGCTGCTGACTGGTGCCGTCGTCTAGTTCTCCCTCCCCAAGGAGCTAAATTCTGAGCGGAGTTATTTGCTTCGAGAGGGATGCAAGAAGAACCCACCAGGAAAGGGGCATTCTGCTACCACCTCAGTTAGCTTTTTCGGAGGTTGATTTTTTATCTTTAGGCGGGCACGCACGAGGATCCCAGGCTCGGTGGTTAAGAATGTGGGGAGCTATGATGAGCAATTCCCAATACTTTGGAGACTTTTTCTGGGTTCACACGTGACGCGAACGTGTGCTGCGACAAACACTTCCATTGCTCAAAATACCCGAATCGAGAAAAACATTAAAACAGCGCCAGTGGTATGTCAGTTCGGCTGACAAAGGGTTTATTTCAATAGTTAACAGGATGCGAAATCAGATCTCCGGCATCATCTATTCGAGGTCTGTTGATGCTGAGTGACGGCGATACAGGAGCCGGAAACGGTTATTTAACTGCCTTTTATCCTTGTTCGCAGGGTGAGATGGGGTAAGAACCCTCCCCACGGTAATACAGGTGGCCTTGCAATAAATTCCAAGCAGATTAGGAACAAAAGTTAGGTTTGGGG